TTTACATGTATCCTTTGATTTGATAATCAAAAAGGAAAATCAGATTACAATAAAAAAAGGAAAAATTCCACTTTAGTACCCTGAACTTTGGAGGGTAGTGCCAAATTAGTACCTGGACTTTTAAATATGTCACTGCAATACCCAAACTTTTAAAAAGTGTCAAGTCAGGTCTCTATCATTAACCGGCCGTCAGTTATCTAATCATGTGATAACATGTGTGACTTAATTTTTTTTTGAAAATGTCAAAACGAGGCCCACCTCTATCCAAAATTAATGGAAAGGAAAAGATAACCAGACCAGGTCAAATGACACCCTCCTCCCTCCCCACTTCACTCTTGTTTCCTGTTTCAGTTGCTGTTGGTTTCAGTTCATAACAATAACAAGCTCATGGATAGCAGTAACAACAACATTACCAACAACCCCAACAAACAACTCCTCTCTCTGGAGTCTATCCTTGAATCTTGCTTGAATCCGTTTCTTTATTTCTTCTACCTAAAACAGTAAAACCCCTTATTTATAATTCAATCTACTCACCGATACAACCATACTTATAGCCGTTCATGGCTCTGTTAGCAGCATCATCCAATTCGAGGGACAGAACTTTGAGTTTGTTTCACTATGTTTGCACATCTCTGTTTCCCAAGTTGGTTATAAGTTGTCGATCATGTAATGAAAAGAAAAGTAAAGAAAAGCATATGAACTTTACTCTTTTTCCTATCACAAATGAACAAGCCAAAGACTGAAGAAATCATCCTCCTTTGCCTGAATTTGTTTCTGGATTCAGTTTGACAAAATCCCAATCCGGATTAGAAATAAAGTTGGAACTTCATTTATAAGCCTTCACTTACCGATTTTTCAGCATCATTTGAATTCTGAGAAATGGAGAACAAAACTCGGTCCTATCTTTTCTCCGCTCAGTGATCCACAAAAAGGTGTTGGTTGTCAAGAGCCAATTAAGATGATTATCCACCACCCCAGCATGATCTGACCTCTTGTGTGGTCCAATTCCACAAGCTTAAAATCTAGATCAAATGCTTTAATGACATTCTGAACTATAGTATGGTTATATATATTCTCGTTGCAAATTGCAAATAGCAAATGTGGGAACGGACTGAGACAAGTTGTTGGGATTTGGGAGAGATGTCGAACATGGTGGTGATGAGCTCGGGTCTCTGCAGGGCCACGATAGCAATAGACACCCATTAGTGGTGGTTTCTAATTGTCTTAGCTACCCGACGACCTCCTTCATGAAATGGCCTATCGCCGACTTTCTCCAAGTTTGCGAGGACCTGACCTCCGTCTCCCTTCGCCGCCCCTTCAATAGGAACAGGGGCTACCTTATCAATTCCCCTAATCCTAGAAGGAGATCTAAGACCATGTCACTTGTGCTCTTATCGACGCCTCTTCTCATTGCAATAGGAGACATTTTAGTATCGTATTGGTTCGAGTTTTATGTGTGTAATAAGATGCCAGGGAACATTTGTAGAGATACGGTATTAGAATCTAGTTATCAGCTTGATATCGAGGTGGTTACTGTTAGATGATAGGAAAAGGGCATTTTTGTCCTTTTACATGATACTTAATGTTCTCTAACATTTTGAACCAACTTGACACTTTTTGAAAGTTTAAGTATTGTAGTGACTAGGGGTGCTCATGGTTTGGTTAACCGAATCATGGGATTTTTTTTGGAACCGAATTGGTACTACCGGTTTTTGGAAAATCAGTAACCAAAACCGAACCGAAGCCAATCGGTTAATCGGTTGATCGGTTCGATTAACCATCGATTCAATTTGTCAATTTTTCAGTTTTTTAATTTTTATAATATATTATAAATATATAATAAAAATAATAATAAAATATTAATAATAAATAATATATCATATATTATAAATATATATAATGCATATTTATGAATTTATAATATATAAAAAATATAATATATAATATATAATATACATAAATATATATAAAAACATATAGAAATATATGTATACCGGTCGATTCGATTAACTACTGATTTTCTATACTAATTAACCGAAATCAAACCAGTACCTTCGATTTTTTAAAAACACCGAACCAATCAGTTCAATTAACCAATTTTTCAATTCGGTTTCAGTTAGTTTTTTCAGTCAATTCGGTTTTTTATTTTTTTCACCCCTAATAATGACACGTTTGAAAGTTCGGATACTAACTTTCCCCTAAAAAAAGAAATCAGGATATATACAACCAACTAGCTTTTCAATTATTAAAAAAAAAAAAAAAAACTTATACAAGCAACGGTGAAGGATGAAGAAGCTTTATGGCGCGGGCATGGAATACATATCGTTCATAGAATCAAAACCACAATTGACATTTTTTTTTTGGAAAAATAGATGATGCGAAAAAAATATGGTATAAAAAGAATTTTGACCAATCAAAACTCACCCATAAATTTTGATAAATAACACGTTACCACGTTTATGATTCCATTTGACTGGTTAAAAAATTTTCAAATATTTGTCATTGGAGTACAACTTTAAAAGCGAGGGTAGAGCATTACACCGGAAATGGACGGTTAAGATCAATGGCTTGGTAACGAATCGTCGGTGTCGGAATAAAAAGGGTAGGATCTTTTAGGGCGTTGAACCCGACGTGAATCGAACACGCAACCTTCTGATCTGGAGTCAGACGCGCTACCATTGCGCCACGGATCCTCGGGCTTGTCAGTTTTTGTAAAGCTCTATCTATAATGTATTTAATTGTTTTTTGCTGCCATCTTGATTGACTAGATTATTTCATAAAACAAAAATATAAGAAATATGTTTGTTTTTTTTGTTTTCTAACACTAAAATAAAAAATATGTTCTTCAATCCGGTTTTTAAAATATGTTTTTATTTGATTATTCAATATCATATTCCATAAATCATATATTTCTAAATTAGAAAACTTATTTTTATTTTTATTTAAAAAATAATATTTTGTTGGTTCCAAAAGCATATATTATTTTTTTGAAACAAAATCAACTTGTTTTATTCCTTTGAAAACAAAAACAGGGTTTGTTTTATAGTGATTCCAAAAACAAATGAAAACAAAAACATTCATGTTGTAGAATGCCCTTTAGGTATTCGGATGTGGTCATGAACTATAATCCTAACTCCCAACAACCATAAATTCGGAAGTTGAACTGGATCCTCACAAAGTATGCTTCACACCAACCTCACAATATGTTGCAACTGTACGTTGGGAATATCTCCTCATGTTAGGAGCAAAATCGGTCTCATCAAGATGTTCATGATGTTTGCCCACTATTGGGACCAGATTCCAGACTCTCTTTAGAGGCTGAATCATTTTTACCTCCGGGTTGCGACCACTAGTTTAGATCATGACACATCAACACGCACACATGTATAAACATGTATTATATCAATAAAATAATGTATAATTAATATAAGTATGCTTTTATGTTTAAATTACATTTTTATTCTGGTTTTAAACTTTTTATTTATAAAAATATTAAAATTTGGGAGTTGAGGCAAAAAAAGAAAAAGTTTTTTAACGAAAAATAGTTGGGCAAAGTGCATTTGGGCACATGGATCTTGAAAAGTTACCTAAAATATTACTCTAATCAAACTTTTGATTGCAAAATCATCAACATCTAGAGGTAGGTCATTTTCTAAAGGGATGGATCATCATCCAGAGGTTTGAAATGAAAAAAAAGAAATTTATGTTTTTTCACGCTTTATTATGGAGAAAATTAGGTTGATCGTGCATTTTGATCCATTTAATGTTTATCAATTAGTATTTTTAACAAGGGTAAATTAACTAGATCCCTTTGTACTATAATGAATTTAAATTCCATTAAAAAATAAAAAATTAATATAATTAATTAAATTTATTAAGGATTAATAAAAGTAAAATTAATAAAAACTTATTAACTTTAAATATAGTTTAATTAATTTAAAACCAACTTCAATTCTATTTAAAAATAGGAAAATTATAAAAACCTCATTGGGCTTTCTAATAATCCTATGAACCTTGTATACATTTGTTGTGACCTTAACAGAAACCTCTCATATTGTTTTTAAATAATGTGCATATGCTTTACTTCCATTAACATTTGAAATAGAAAATATTGATATATTGCATTATTTTTTTAAATACCAAATTTATCCTCAACCAACTTTATTTAGAAATAATTACAAACCAAAAAATATCTGGTAAAAAATTTGTTTACCTAAAAATGATACAAAAATAATTGTAAACCATAATTAATAAAAAAATTAATATTAAGATACAAAAATTTAACATTAAGGTACAAAAAATAATACTGATTTATCTAAAGCATAGGAAATTAGCCACTCCCACTAAAGTGCAACTTAAATTTAACATTAAGATACAAAAATAATAGCATAGGAAATTAGCCACTCTTAGTGGCAACTTAAATTGTGATCGAATACACCAGACATTACCCCCCCCCCCTCCAAAAAAAAAAAAAAAAGCTTGAATTGGACTTAGATAATCACCATTTAATTGGAATGTTATAAAACTCATTCCTCAATTTTTTCTTAGGCCATGTTTGGGAGTGCTTAAAATTAAGTGCTTATTAAAATAAGTGCTTAATTGGGTCATTAAGCACTTATTGGTGTTAGGGAAATAAGTTTAAAATAAGTGCTTATTTTTTAAGCCCAAAATTTCAGCTTTTTTTTAGTGCTTATTGTATAAACACTTATTCAATTATTTTCTTCCAAAATTATCCCTAGTTGAATTTTATAGAAGTACTTTCATAAAAGTACTTTTATAAAAGTAATTTCATAAAAATGTTTTTATTAAAATGTTTTCATAAAATACTTTCGTAAAACTTTTTATAATTTAAAATAAGCACTTATTCAATAAATACTCCCAAAGATGGCGTTAACAAAACCTGTCTTCCGACTAGTTTTTTCCATTTTGTACTCAGTGCTATGCACCTTCCCCCAAAGTGTTGGTTGCGGGATTTGCTTCCGCGTCAACGCTGGAATAAATCGGCTTACACACCAACGAGTCTGTCCCGACTTGTTAAGTATTAAGAGACCTCGCGGCTTCGCCTCAAATAATAGCAGACCCTATCCGATAGTCTTCCGGTCTTCCTTTACTTTTTGGCGCCATTTCCATCTCAGAAAACAGAAATACCGAAGCACAGAAAAAGAAGGAAGAAACCATGCTCATTACAAGTCCCGGTCTTTCCTTCATCGCAGTAAACACCAGAAAAACGCAGAAAATCCACGGCAATTCGCGTCCTGGTTTCAGCGTTTTCTCTCATTCTTCTTCATTCCGTCGCAGGTCCCTTCACTGCTTCCCCAAGGATTTGCATTTAAAATCTCGGAATAAAAATAGGAAACTTTCACTTTGCAAAGCTACTCTGATTACTAATGCGGACGATTATGAGGTCGGACGGTTCGTCGGAAGTTACGGGTTTATGAACATTACTAGGTGAGTCGAATGGACTTAGTGATTTTATGTTTCTTCGTTCCCTTGAGTTGATTTATTTGGACGTTAATTGGTATTTCTTGTCATTTCAGCTACTCGACTTTCCAGTCCGGACCAGATTTCGAGTATTCTTCGGAAGTTATGGAGCGGTTAAGAGTTCAAGATGTGGGAGAAGGTCAAGTGAAAATCAGGTGCATTTCTTGGGTGTAGAATTTGATCTATTAAAAGGATTTGTTTTATGTTTGTTTGTCCTTCTACTGATACCATACATGGCAGTTCTGTTGCAGGCTTTATGAGGGGAGAATAGCTCGTGGTCCATTCAAGGGGACTCGAGTAATATTTAAGGTAATCTGAAAGGCTATTTATTTCTATAATTTTCCTGGAACAAGTCCAGTGATGGTATTACAACAGTTGTAGTAGAATTTATCCACTTGCTGTCCAGTAGGCCAAACCTGTGGAAAAGAATAAGGGACTAGGGTCTATTAACCATTTATCCTAATCATAAGACAATAAGAATTGGATTGAAGCATTTTTTTGGGACCATTTTTTTTTTTTTGACTGTAGGAATTTCATATTTCTGTTTCTCCCTGTATCATAAAGCATCCTCTTAAGAGTTGGTTATGTGTAAAACAATCTATATTTGTATTGTATTGGTTCTGTCAGCTCAGAGCTACATTCTCAGAATGTAGGGGACTTGATTATAATCTTCTTGAGTTAACAGGGCTGGTTGGGGCCCAGTTCAATAATGGGCCTGCATTGCTAATCTTTTTTCAACTGTATAGTGTAGAATAACACGGAATCGTAGATGGGTTAACCAACATAAAAGTTCGCTGTAGTATCATTTCCTTAATGTACTTCACTGGTAATTATATTATATCAAGTTGAGGAAAGCTGGGAACCCGGGGAGATAAGGAAACTTGCAGTTAATATGGTTAATGGTGAAGAGGCTTTGAACCCTCTAGTGATTGGCTCCCTTTCCTATTTACTTATCATTAGGTTCATCTGGTCTGGATACTGATTCTTTGTTACTGAGCTTATAAAGGTATATCCTGGACAGCGTGCTGGTGGTATTGAGGCAGATATGATGGCTGCAAATGAGCTAAATTCTCATGCTTTCCTTCAGGTAAGTAGAAGACTATGACATTCATTTAAAGATCTCCAGTTTATTGAAAATCTTCCCAAATTAAAATTTGTCAGAATGTTTTGTTGGAGAGGGTCTTTTCATTCATCAAGTGCTTCATCTTTGCAGAGTGACCCCAATGATATCTGTCAGAATATCCAGATATTATTAGGTGGATTTGAGACAAAAACTGGGGAGCAGGTCTAGTATATGAACTATTGAGATGTAAAGTATTTTAATCTTTATTTTGGTAGGTGCAATTTTAAGAAAATCTCTCTTTTACAGTGGCTTGCTTTTCGTAATGATGGGAAATATAGTGCAGCAGACTATGCAAAAATTAAGAGTGAAGCAATGTCAAAAGATCGTGCTGGTGGAGAACAGAAATTCTGGAATCCTTTTGAAAAGGAACAGACAATAAAACGTAGATATTTTTATGTTATCAAGCTGTTTCGGGGTGTCATGAGTGGACTAGCCTACATGCATGACCGTAACAGATTACACCAAAGTCTTGGACCTTCTTCTGTCATTCTCAAGTAAGCTGGTTGGCCATATTGTATTATGTTAAAAAATGCCTATTTATTACTTCCTCATGCTTTTGTGGCCATCTTTTGGTTTCATCCTGTCAATATTTGTATGTCACTATTGACAGCACGATAGTGGAGAAAGATGCAGCTTACCTAGTTCCTCAGCTCCGGGATCTGGCCTTTTCAGTCGATGTAAGGTATAATATCAAATTTGTTTTTCCCTTTTTTAGGAAATTACTTTTTGTAATACCACTCAACTGGCCAAGGATTGCAACACTAGTAGTGGGAAAATTTCAGTCCTTTAAAAATAAAGATTTTGCTGCTGATCAAAAAAAAAAAAAAGACTTTGCAGACAAATTTGAATGTAACTTCATAGACCTTACAGCTTAAAGAGCCATAAGAGGAAACATTGATTTTTTCCCTCTAAATTTTCAAAAGTAATCAAAGATCTGCATACCCTTTTTTGACTACAATTTTTTAACATAAAAGAAAAGAAAATGTTATGTGCCCTAAATCTTGAAAGAGAAGGCCAGTAGGGTCAAACATGCCAGAGAAACAAGGGCCAAAAACCTAACAAATGCAATAAACAACCGCTATGCTGGAAGCCGAGAACCCTAACTTTGAGTCGCGTGACTCTTTAAAATCTCCATTGGCCTATTAATTTTGGGCTTTACTCTTCTGTCGGGCCCACCCACATGGAATGAATTAACTTCGGCCCTCGACCCATTAAGAATGACCTTGGGCTAGTTGTTTCAACTAGGCCCACCCAACCGGATGTCCTCCCTCATGTGACTCTTTAAGGCTTCACAATACTAGCAGCTCCACCTTGTACTCCCAGCAAGATTGCTAGCCAAAGTTAGCAGATTCCATGAGCCAACTGAACAAGGATTTCAACTTAGAATTAGGGATCTCAAATTTCTTGTGAAGTGATCAAACCTCCACAGAACTTGAAAGTAATATCTCATGAAATGAGTCCCAACTTGGGAATATCTGAAATAAAATCTATGGGCTCAATCTCATGAGCATAGTTATCAAGGCATCACCTGCCAAGGTGACAAAAATGACAAACAGAGACCTTATATAATATAACTCGTATTGCTACACTTATTAATTTGTGTGTTAGTACATTCTATTATATACCTCATTTATATCATTATATGTTGTTTTAAAGTTTTGCTATTGGAATGTAAAAGATCTAAGGGTTTTGAGAAGAGAAAAAGAAAGAAAGAATAGAAGTATAAAGAGGGTTCTTTCTTCTTCTTTTTTGTTATTTCTTTCCTCTCTCTCTCTCTCTCTTACATTAAATTAAGCAGCATCTCCAATCTTGTTCTTTTTCTCTTTTATCTTCTGTCTTAAGTTCTTAATATATAAAATTATAGCCTTCTTTATTTGCTAATTGTTTTGCTTTATTAAATACTTATCACATTAGTATCATTTTTGAAAATATTGACATTAATATATTTACAATATTTTTATCTTTTAGATATGGTGAATTGCCATGTTTTGAGAGGAAATTAATGTTCTTAATAAAGAGAGTTGCTATTTTTTTTTTAATCAATATGCATGCTGAATGGTATATAGTTGACTCTCTCATCTACCCCAAACTCCCACTAGTCCTAGGCTTCTTCCAATGCATCAATTACCCAATTTGTTATAAATATTTCCTTTCAATTGGTAGTTGTCAACCAGTCACCAAACAATCTATAAGAACCTTTCCTTCTCATCCACTGCACTTTAATTTTACATGTAATATCCTCTTCCTATTCCTTTTTTTTGGACCATTAACAAATAGTTTAATGGAGAAATATAGGAAAATATACAGATCATAATTTTCCTCCAAAGAGTTGGGGGGGGGGGGTAGGTAACTCAGGATGTCAACAGCCAGCTCTATGCTGACAGGCATCGAATAATTAGATAACCATTAGATTACAACTGTTTCTCCTGGACCTTGCATGACCCACTCTGATTCTCTCTTGTTAATCCCGGGTCTGGCTGTTGTCCCCTGAGTCTTCTCTGATTTAATGTCCTAAACACTAAGGTCCTTTAACTCCTGATAGAATCTGGCCGATCACCACTTGATGGTCTCCTTCAACAACTAAGCCACTCCACTCCCTCTGCAAATCTCAGTCCATAAAGAAGGGTTAAGAATTCAGTCCTTAAAGAAAGTCACATCACATCCCTGCTGGACCTGGGTAGCTTAATTACATATTGCCATAATGATCTCTGAACATTCCTTCATACCTGACTGGTAGGGGTGCAAATGGATTGAATCATGACCGGATCCGAATTCAAATCCAAATCTATTTTGTCAGATTTGGATACCAATACCCCCTGGCAGTCGGATTTTTGGATTGAAGAATTCGGATCACCCCCATCTGATCTGGTCCTATATGTATTATTTATTTACTTTTTGTATTATTTATTTTTTTAAAATACATGTATATATATGATAAGATAGTTGAAAAAATGCTTGTATTTTTTGTTTTTCTTTATATACTGTTACATTATTTCCTTTTAATATATTTTTTTAAAATTTTACAGAAATTAAATAAGATTGGATTGGATTCAGATATCCGGCATCCTTAACAGATCCATATTCAAACTGACCTTTGTGAGATCCAATCTGATCATCAGATCGGATTGGATCGGATTCAGATATACCCCGATTCGAATCCAATCCGATCAAAAGAACTACCATTACAATCCAGATTAATCTTTGTTCAGGTCCTTCTCATGCCAATAGAGCTGAAGATCTCTGCAGAGAAAAGCTAGTCGCACATGCTATTCTCTTCATCTTGTTTTTTTATAGGTAAAGTAATTTTATTTATAAGCAGAAAATCATCAGTACAAACATCCCAGGGAGATGTGTGAGATTCACCTCATCCAAAGACAGAAAAAGTACAAATTACATTTGAGCCCAGAATAGGTGATCCCTATTAAGCCCCTGCTTGGCTAGCTGGACCGGAAAACGTAGCAACAAAATGTCCATCTTTGTTCCTAAAACCCCCTCCAATCCTAGGAAGGCCTGGATTTCCATGGCTGCTTCCATCAAAGTTAAACTAAATGAAATCATCTGCAGGAGGGATGCAAGAAGCAATAGTCATCCTCCTTCTAGAAGAACTAGCAGGCACCTCGCCCCAATTCCTCCAAAGTTCATCAAAGGAGAACTGAGAAAATAAGTCCAAGGTTTTCACCCAATGTATTACCTTTGCCAAAATGCATTTAGCCCTACTTCAGTATTGTCACCAGTACTATATCATTGATAAACAACATTCATCATATGAACTCTTGTAACTTGTAAGGGTCTTATTAGCTAATCTATGGCTTGTGCAAAATGAGATGGGCTAAGCACTGACCCCATGTACAGACCTGTGATATTAAGAAACCCTTTCATCTCTTCCAGGATGTTGTTACACTGATTATTGCTACATTCATATTTTTGTTGTGTTGGTATACTTATTTGGGGCTCCTTTCTTTCCCCAAAACCACCAACTTATCTCCTTGGTAACACTATAATTTTCCCTAACCATATCAATTAATACCATGTGAATACCTCTGTCTGAACTTCTATATCAACTGTCTGAGTGGAAAGATAGCTTTTACAACTGATCTCCTTACCAAGTCAATTTGGTAGTCTCATTACTCTTATTTCATGTTGCAGTTTTGCTCAATTGTTCTCATCAGAGTGTCATAGTGTGACTCATAAACTTGAACTGTGATAATTAGGCAACTTTGTATGTCATCTTCATCTTATGTATAGGAAGTTAGGAACTATAAAGAACAGAAGGGACACTTGGAAGAAGATCTAACCTGTCCAACCACACCAATTTGCACTTTAGTTGTTTGAGACTTCTAAAACACTCCATGATCATGTTCCTCCTAGCAATTTACATGTATGTCTTGCCAACAAAAGCATATAAGTTTGTATTAACTGAAAAGGGTCTATTGAAGTTGAAATGTGATCGGAAATTAGCTAATAGTTGATCAAGTTTACTGTCACATGAATGGCTTATGTCAATACATGGACTTTTTAGATTTCCATTCTTGGAAGAAGGTCCAGGAAATCTTGCTGAGGGACTTTGGAGACGGGCATCTGCCTCTGGTGCTTTCACCCCTATGGAGAAAAGAGCCTTTGGAATAGCAGATGACATGTATTTTCTTTTTTCTTTTTTGTTTTTTTTTTTCTATTTCCTAACTTTCCTTGATAGTAAAGTTCATTATTTTGCTGTTGACAAGCAGATATGAAGCAGGCCTTCTTTTTGCTTATTTAGCTTTTGTTCCATTTTGTGAAGCTGGTATCATGGATAGTCTTTCTTTGCAAGTAAGTTCTTCTCCAATCAATTGTTCTGTTACTATATGTTCCATATGCCTCTTTTTTTCTAATCAATGCTTGTGCTGTTTTTCTTTCACCCTACCCTACCTATATGTCTATAACTCACAGAGACTTCTTGAGAGCACGTTCAAACTTGATATTGAAGCTGTAAAAGAGTAAGAAAGTTTGTCTCTATATCCAATGTTTAATATACTAGTTTATAAGCTTCTTTTTGTTAGTTGTTTTACAAAGAACCCACTTCTATAAAATGATCACTTTAAAATTATGTTTGCCATAGACTGTGCATGAAAAGTTACAAGTAGGTTGCACAATCTCTTTAGGGAGACATCTTTTCTTTTTTTTACGATGATTAATATTTTCAAATATATTTGCGAACAGTGCATGTTTGTTAAGATATTCTCAAAATAGGAGTAGAAACTTTGTGCACAACATATTTAAGAGTGAATATATTTCTTGGTTTTATATCAAAAGGAAGTGATCCTAGACCCTTAAACCCATGCCGTTTTTGGCCTGCCCTTAGCTCTTAAAGACCCTTCAACTTGTAATTGATCAGTTTTTCTCACTGGTGCTATAGATATTCTTTGTATGTGAGTAAACCATCTTAGTCTACTTACCAATAAAATACTTGATCTACTTTCCTACAAATATGTTATTTTTAGGAAAAGATAATTTTCATTGCAAAAAGGCAAGGGGAAGGATGTATATGAGGAGATGTACAAGTTAAAAAAGGAACAAAACCACCAGGGACCCCCTCCCCCTCCCCAAGTAATTACGAAGGTAGAATGTTTCCACTATAAAAATTCCTTCCCACACCAGCTTTGGCCAAGCCATCTGCCAAATAGTTAAGGTTCCTAGGAATCCTAAACTGCAAATTGAGGAAACTGTGATCTCCCTGATTTCATTGAGGAAATAAGCAAATCCCCAGACCATTCTCTGCATTATTTACCCAGTCAATCATGTTCCTGGAATCCCCTTTTAGAGCAATTGATGAGATTTGGAGGGAAACGGCATCTCTGAGGCCCACTAGCAACACTCTTGTTTCTGCTTCAGCTGCATCAGCGATACAGATAGGCCCACTAAAGGCCAAGAGCAGGTCACTATCAGATCTAAGAATCAAGTCCCTCCCCCAATACTAGCAACACCCAGGTGGCCTGCAAAGCTTCTGTAGCTGCCATTAAATTGATATGCAAAGCCTGTTAGAGGCCTGGGAGAGAAGGCAGGCACGATAGGGGGATCAAAATAGGAGGAATTCAGAACCTACAAGAAGTTTCTGTCCATATCTCCATAGGAGATGCCTCTATACAGCTTATTGGCCAGCATCCAAGATCTTTCCTTTCAAAAATTCTTATTCTTATGTTCTGTTCCTTTCCTCTCAGATACCCCACATAACAGCATGAATGATTGCTTTCCAGAAGAGGTTTGTTGTATTCCCCATCCTACAAATATGTCCATTTTTATCTTATCCTTTGTGGTTTTCTCACTCATCATATTAACAGTTGCATTTCTACTAGTCATTTTCTTGGGAATATTCTTTGCTGCCCAACACCTTGCTTTGTACAACATTGCAGGTGTTATAAACATTTTATAAATTTTTACCATCTTATGAATTAGCACTTGTGGCTTATTCAGGGGTCTGTCATGGATTATCCCTCATGGCTCTAAGGGTGGCTAGTCCTATTACCAGCTGAGGACTGATCTTATTCTGTGTGTTTTGTATTACCTTTGTTGTCATATTTTCTGTTTGGTAAAAATGCATAGATTTTGTTGTTAATAAACAACTGTTATGCTTAACTTAATAATTCTGTCCTATGATACATACCATATTGGTCTTGTTATTTATTTTCTGGGGCTTGTAGTTTCATATCTGAACCAATTTGAATATTTCTTTTAGGTATTGCCTAGCAGACGACCGCATGTTAGAAGCTGTTAAGTTTCTTAATCTTGGCGATGGTGCTGGTTGGGAGTTGCTACAGGTTAATAATCTTTTTTAAATATGATGATTAAATTCTTTCATTTGTATAATCTAGTTATCTACTTTTTTTATTAGTACTGATCTAGTTATCTACTTAACAAGATAGACTAAATTTCATTCAAGGGGACATCAATCAATGTTACCAATCTAGAGATTCCACAAATGGTACTCATGATGTGTAGGTAGGAGCTGTTACCCTCTGATACTTGGGTCTGAACTAAGGAAAAGCCCTGCAAGAAAATTTTACCAGGATGGATGAACATAATTTTCTACTGTATTCTTGAGCTTATGAATCATTTTGTCTGACAGTCTGAAATAATCAGAGAAGACAATTATACCCTTAATTAGGTTGTTTTTTTGTATAGGATATCTCCAGATGGGATCCAGCAAACGATAAGCCCCTAAAATTGTCCCATGCACCATTATGCCATGTTTTTTTGATGAATAAAGATAGTTTTATTACTTCAAAAGATAATGGAGATCTCACATAACAGCCTGTGGAGAGGCACGAGCTGTAGCCTCTCTCAACTGATTACTAAGAAACTTAAAAGGAAAAGGAAAAAATAAACATTACAGCTGAGCCCAAAATAGAACTTCCCTATTTGTCCCTTGCTTAGCCCATTGGTCTACGGTTTTTTATTGCCTCAGACAGGAATTACAGATTTCCTCATTTAATTGTTTCATAACATGTTTGGGCTTGTAATACAAATCTGTTAAGGGCATGCCATTTTCCCTTCTTATCAGCATAGAAATGACCGATCTCAATAAATTAATAATGTTGCTTCATTCCAAAAATACTTCTACCTTTGAGATTGTAGCTTACATATGGTTGTAAATGTTAACTCCTCCATTGGTATCATTTTGATACTGAAATCTAGATGAAGTAATTTTAATCACTAAATTACCAAGATTAAAAGTTTACAAGTCTAAAAATTCATCAGCATATTCTTATGCCTTTTACTTTAAATTTCCTTTGCACTAGAAGTGCTTTTTTTTTAGACCAGAAGGTGAATGAAAAGTTATGTCCACTGAAATTACAATTTCTTTAGCCCCTGGAAAATGGAGGAAAAGTAAACTATTAGCATAGTTATCAATGTTAAATGTTAGATGAAATTCTCCTTTCATTGACACTAATGTGGCAGCGGTAATAACTTCAGTGACATCTTTCTCTTTTCATTTTGCTGCCTTGTTCCTCTTGTTCTATTTACCAAAAAGTAGTTACTCTTGTTCTGATCCATTTTACAGCTAATACCAAATAATAATAGTAGTTGCCTATCAAAAGAAAGAAACCAAATGGTAGTTGCTTGATTAGAGAGAAAAAAGGACTATGATATCTTTAATATCTCATCAAAAAGTTTGACATACAACATATATAAACTGTAAAGTTGGACATTTGAATAAATAAAAGAAACTTAGTCTCAGTTTGGAAAGAGTACAAATACAAATATATACAGTGCAGAACGCTGTATATTGTATTTATAAACTTATTTGTACTGTACATATTTGTATTTGTACTCTTTCCAAACTGAGCCTTAGTTTCATCACTTGCATTTCTCCCATGCCTCATTGTATAATCAATATTCTTGAAGACTACTTTCCTATCATTTTGTTTTTTCATTGTCATTCTTGCTTTTTTCTATCTGTCCCATGTGTGTCTTAAGGGGATCTCTTCTTCTGATCTTTGTTAACTCTTATTTGATCCATAAATTCTTATCAGCTTCTTTGTCCTTTTATTTAAGCTTATTTATCAAAATTAATGTCTCTATTGGACAGGCAATGCTGAACCCAGACTTCCGGAAACGGCCAATTGCTGCAGCTGTTTTGAGCCATAGATTCATGACTGGTGCTGTTCTTTGAATTTGTGCGGTCGGCTTCAGGAGTAGATGTGTAAATAGTGAGCAACAAGTTAGGTTTTGTTCAATTACTGACATATATCACCTAATAATTTATAGATAAATCATCCTTAGCCAGAAGATTTTATTCAATTTAACACTTTCTATTTATTATTTACTCAGCGTCTGTAACTTGACATTAATAGTTTGCTTGCTTCAACTGTACAGTGTACAGATAAATAATCCTTAACCAGAAGCGCGGGGGGAAAGCTAAGCTTGATATTATTAATCAGAGTATGCTTTTCATCTTTATAACTGATACCTGTTTAACAATTTAAATACCTACTTTGCAATCAACGTATACTGGAATTTTGCTGCTATTCAAGCTACCCACGAGCTGTGAACTCATCTACGATTCTACGATTTTATATGCGTTGATACACAAACTGAGGATATTCAGAAAATTAGATATAGAGTATAGTAAATTGGGTTATATATTGTTAAATAAATTTGTATTAATTTTTATTATGTTTAAATTAAATGGAGTTTAAATGGATTTTACATTAACAAAATTAATTCTAAAATTAAAAATTTCTACTAATTTCTGTTAGTTTTTTTTTATTAATTTATATTACTTTATTTTTTTTAAATGAATTTAAATGGATTTCAAATTCACAAACTCCTGAATAACTCAAACTAAATCACTTTTGGGACTTTGTTGAGCAAAATTCAAGCAAAGGAGCTCTGTGACATTTTCAAAGTTGTCCATGTCAGGTGAGGCATCTTTTCTAATTTCTATTTATGTATTTATCTTTTTATGGTTTTTATGAGTTTTCTTATTTTTCATTTCTTTTGAAATTGAACAAATTAACTTAAATAAATTTTAAGACCTTTTCTATTATTTGTCCTCAATAACTCACCATTAATTCTCTATTCTTATTCTGATTAACTTCTCCATTTATTTTCATTAATCACATCATTAACTCTCTCTCCTCTAATAATTCATGCCACTAATTCTCTTTATCTCAATTACTCCATTAAATTGCCTAAAATTGGTGAAATACAAATTTTAAAATTAAGCTAAGTTTAATAAAACCCATTTTTAAGAGTTGAGTGCAAACAATCAAAATGGGCCAGTATTCACCTGCTTTTGATCGACTCATAAAGTATACAGCTATTGTGTGGTGTATACTGTATAGTACCAGTGTACCACCATATGTTAAATGAATAATACCCTGATATAATATATGAGAACTATGTATTTTACAATACTTGTATACTAAAATTAATATTAAAGTGAGGGGAGCCTTATAACATTCTCAAATTGGTAATGCCAATCCGGGTCTAACCCAACCATCATTTTATTAATGTAAATTTTTATCAACTTTTAAATGGATTTAAATGAAAGAAAACAAATTTTACACCTAAGAATTTTCTATTATTTTATTTTATTGTTAGTTATTTCAATTAATTTTTTAATTTTATTATTGTTACAATTTTTACATTAAATTTAAGTGGGTATTAATTCTTTAGTTTTAAAATCTAGTAGTAAAACTTAATTTTTTGTTAATTTTATTGATTTTATTAATTTTTATCAATTTATTTATTTCATATCAAATCTATATGGATTTAAAATTATAGTTTTATCAATAATAAGAATTAGTAATTTCTTTTTATATTTGATTAGTTTTTATTATTTTAAGTGGAATTTAAATTGATTTTAACTTTTAATATGTGAATTACTTATACTTATTAATGATGTTTTTAATTATTTATTGTCGGTGAAATTTGTTTGAATTCTTTTATTGAATTTACTAATTTTTATCGTTTTTAATGGAATTTAAAGAAATAAAACCATTTTAGAAGTAATAAGTTTTTATTCTTAATTGTTAAATATAATTTCAAATAAATTTAGAAGTAACAATTATATTAAATAGCACTGTATATTTCAAATGTTAATAAATTTATTTTCAAGTGAAGTAATTAATATTGAAATAGAATGGAACTAATTTATTAACTTAAACATTCATAATTTTTATATAGAAGTTTATTATTTAAAGGTAATGAAATAGAATTTTACTTTTATCATGAAATAAATAACAATTATGATTATGTTGGTTATGTTAATTTGATTTAACTGAGTTAATTATAATTAAATGCAAGTATGTTAAAGAGATATAAAATTATAATTAAATTTAAATGGATGTAAATATAGATATAGGTAGAATTAAAGAATTTTAGGCAATTTAATGGGGTAATTAAGAAGAGGGAAATTGGTGGTATAAGTAGCGCTGGTCACGAGCCGAGCTCAAGCCCAAAAAAAAAAAAAATAATTATTATATATATAATAACTAATTATTATAGTTCTTAATTTTTTAAATATCAAATAAAAATTATTTTTTATATATAATTTTTTATTTTATAAAACATTTTTCCTCAAGTTGAGCTTGAGCCAAGCCGAGTTCAAGCTTATGAGTTTTTGACTCGAATTGAGCTCGATCTCAAAGTTCTAGCCCGAACCAAGCTCGAGCTCGAGCCTTGTACTACCTTGGTGAGCTGAGCTCGAGTTTCGTACTATTCAGCTCGGCTTGGCTCGAATCCACCCCTGGGTATAAATTATTGGAGTTCAAATCTGCGCCCCACGGGCCACGACTGGGCACCCCACAAACGCCCCAGACAATGGAAGCCCACCACTTGTCCTCTCGCACAAATTCTCCCCTCGATACGTGCGGAGCTAACGACCATCCCATTAGCTCTAAATTTCACCCAAAATGAGAAAAAGGAACAAGCCAAGGGTCAAAGAAGACTACTTTAATATCCACACCCATTTCCAGTTTATCATTTTACTCTTTTATGAGATCTGGACATATATTCAAAATAAGAAAATAGGGTATATTAGACTATGGCTTTGACTTCTCATTCTCCAAATGCCATCCCAACTTCATAACAAAAGGAACCTAAACTTCTTTCAATCAAATATTTTATGAACTGTCCCAACCTCTCAAATATAAATAAGGCTGCAAACGGATTGGATCAGATTTGGTAAAGGGTATATCCGATTTGATCCTATAAGAAATCTGATCTATCCGAATCCAATTAGAATTTTTGGATTTTCAAGAGTATGATTCGAATTCGAATTCAAATATCTTATTGGATATCTGCTTAGAATCCAATTCGATTAGAATTGTAAAAAAAATTTATGATATAATATAAATAATATAATATATTATATACTATATAATTATATAAATAATGTAAAAATATATATAGAATATACATATATAATATATAAATAATATATAATGTTTCATAACTAACAGATCAGATCGGGTTGTTAGATATTGGATTAGGGTATATCCAAATTCGATCCATTAACTAAACAGATCAATTTTTCTGATCGAATCCATTTTATTAAGATCAAGGGAGGTATCTGAATCTGGCTCTTATGGGATCACATTTGGGTTCAAATTGGAACTGATCCGACTTATTTGCATCCCTAATATAAATGTTGCTTATGATCATTTAGCCCCCCACCAAAAATTTCCAACCAACACCTTCATTTTTTTGACAAATACTCTTTAGCAAATATTAATAAGAGGTTTTTACTATTCAGTACACCCTCAGAAATCTTAGCTTCATCGTATAATTGGAGTAGATGCCAGCTATGAATTGAACGAGCGAGTATGAGTGTTATAGGTGGAGGTGTTTATATTTTTGAATTATTGTAGGTCTGCATTAAATTCAGAATTGTGAGGTAAACGATAGTCAACTTATCCCTATTAATAAATGTGAACTCATCATGAATCACATCATTTATATCCTTTTACCATTTATTTACACAGTGCATTGCATGTGCCCTTACTCGAGATTATGCACACACTTGTTTCCTCGAGCACTATTAACTCCCGTTAGATGTCCTATTCCTATATACTAGCTCATGAGGCAGCCTAATACATTGTCTATTTAAAGGGATGTTTGTAAATAGATGAAGTAGGTAGAGCTGAGATAGTGGGGCGAATGATAACTGACATACTTGCGTGAGTGAGACATTTGGCCTTCCACCTTTTTAATTTACTAGTAATTAAGCACATGTGTTGCACGTGAGAAATTTTTCTTTATATTATAATTATGTGAATTTTAGATATATCATAGTTAAGATAGAAATTGAAAATTAACAAAGATAGCAATATGATTAAAAATAAACTTAAATATTTATTATTCAATTATGACATCATGGGTTTCTTTGAAAAGTTGGATCATTGAACCACCATCTAGATAAGAAAATAACATTGCTTTTGGATTAGTTTTAAATGGGGAAAATTATAGTTGGAGCTGGTTGTATATTTAAAATTAGGCTATAAGTTGGTCCATGAACCAACAAAACTCTAACAATCGACTCTACATTTCAAATTATAAAAACCCTTGCCATGTCATTGGAGGCTTATGTGGCTATTGCCAATATGGGACTCTTAATCCATATTGGACACAACAAAAAGCTTATACTGAAATTGCCCTTTAATGTTGAATGATTGGAAAAAAAAAGGATTTTAGTCTCTCTCTCTCTGCCTCACACTCTCTCACTCACCGTCATCTTTATATGCTCAACAACTATGTGATTTGAAAATAAATAAAAATGGATTTTGGTTTCTATATTTACGTTCTCTATATATCAATTTCTCTCATTCTCTCTCTTTCTATTTATTGTTCTCCTTCAATCTCTCTCATTCTCTTTCTCGGTCAATCTCTCATTCTCCCTTAATTTTTATTGTTCTCCTTCATTTTCTCTCCCGCTACACCCTTCGTTTTTTTTTTTCTTACACTTATATGGTATTAATTAGATTGTATATAAGAACATGAGACCAACTTGATATGGTTCAAAAATTATTACACCAATTTGATAAAAATTCACAAGAAAGTCTTGGCTATGAAATTTACACCAACTGGAGAATGATAGAGGTTGAGGGAGAAGGAGATATTGACTGAGGGGAGAGTGAGGGAGAAGAATGAGAAAGATTAAGGGAGAATAGTAGAGAGAGAGAGAGAGAGGTTTTTATTTGGCTATAGATTGAAGCTGAGAGAGTGGGAGAGACAATGAGAGTGGGAGATCGAGAAATGACTTGACTGTGAGAGTAAGAGAGAAGGGAGGGAGATAGAGAGATAGAGGGAGTGGAAGAGAAACTGAAAACCTATTCTTGGTATAGGTTTTTGTTGTGTCCAACATGGATTAAGAGTCACATGTTGGCAACAACCACATTAAGCCTTTGATGACATGGCAGGGGTTTTTATAATTTGAAATGTAGAGCCATTAGA